GGGGACGTCTCTCATTCAAACCGCTGCGCAATCTTTGCAACTTTTCTGGAGCTGTTTCTACATTAAGCTGCCCATTAAGACATACCTGGAAGTCAGGCGTGGCACACCAGCACTTGAGAGCCTGAGGCAGGGTGTTCAAACATGGCCTTGGCTGTATAATGAAACCATCTAAAAAAAACAAACAAAAAACACCAAAGTGTGTGTGTGTGTGTGTGTGTGTGTGTGTGTGTGTGTGTGTAAAACTTTAAGAGCCAGGTGTGGTGGCGCATGCCTTTAATCCCAGCATCCACGAGTCAGAAGCTGGCGGATCTCTGTAAGTTGGAGGCCAACCTGGTCTACACAGCGAGTTCCAGGACAGTCCGGGCTTCACAGAGAAACGCTGGTTTGAAATCCACGCCCCCCCAAAAGTTTAAGAATCAATTCATACTGCACATCTGTAAGGTGAATACATGCTCTGAGCAGAGCTTCCTCTCTCCTCCAGTCCGTTTCCTTTCCTTCCCTCCTCCTCGGATGCAAGGGGAGGATGGAGACACCTTAGGGGAAGCTTTGCTGGTCAGGGTACCGCTGCCCCTGGCTCCATCGTTAAGATGTCTAAGCCCCCAGAGTCCTCATGTTGGAAATTTAACCCCCAGTGCAGCCAGTGAGAAGTGGGGGCTTCATAAGACCTCGTTGCTCGTCGGGACGGACAGAGTCATGCTGCGAGTGCTGTGAACGGAGGCTCAGGTGGTCATGAACGCAACAGTGTCACTGTTCCGAGAGAGCTCCAGTTACCGGGCAGCAACAAGCTGGTTCCTCTTGTTCTCTTGCTCAAGTCCCTTCCCAGATTTCACCACGGATGGCATCGCAAGAAGGCCCTGCTTGGGTGCCGGTAGCCCGATCTTGGACGTCCCAGCCTCCAAAAGTATGCTAATTATAGTTCTCTTCTTTGTAAATACCCCCGCTCATGTTGTTCTGTCGTGATCGACTGTGGTGCTCTCCTAGGGAACCAACACTCAGCCGTGGCTGAGGTCTAATGAGAACGTTGGTGCCTGGACCAGGAGTTTTAGTCGTCGCTAAGACGTACCTTCGCTGATGAATCCCTCTAACGCCTCACGGTGACAGGAACTCTGACTGCCACAGACATGGGCTTTAAGATTGGCACCATTAGCCGGGCGGTGGTGGCACACGCCTTTAATCCCAGTACTCGGGAGGCAGGTGGATCTCTGTGAGTTCGAGGCCAGCCTGGTCTACGAGAGCTGTTGGACCCCCCAAACTTTGGGATTCCAACGTATCCAGGTGGACGCCCCACAGACTCAGACTCCAGAACAGAAGATGCAACAAGCAAGAGGATTTTATTCCACGTTTGCGCAAACGGGCTCCTGAGCCACGGGAGGCAGAGAAGCCCCGAGCAGCTATTACAAGCTCTTTTTAAACACAAAAACCATAAGATTATCAAGGGGTCACACACGGCGCTTTTCTGGGGGAAATTTCAGGCTAGGAGGGTTTGGGGACGTGGGGGCCACCCGTCCTTCTGGAAAAAACCACAAGATGTTCTGCCTGTTCTATCTCAAGGGCCATCTGGGTGCCTGTTGGGTGGAGCAGACTTTGCTACCTAAAACTGCTGCTTTAGGTTTAGATCAGGCAAGGGGCAGATCTTGCCTCCCTAGCTTGTATTTGAGTGTGTGTGTGTGTGGGGTCTTTCAGAGCAAGTTCCTGGTGTACAAGAGCCTCCAAAACAATACAGAGAAACCCTGTCTCGAAAAAACAACAACAACAAAAAAAATCGAACAAACAAAAAAAAAAGATTGGCACTGTTTTCTTAACGATATTGGTCTTTTTTTCCCTAGCATTTTTGCATCATCTCTGACCATTTTGTCCCATAAACCTTAGGTCTAAAGCACTTGTTGCACACGTGGACCAGAATTTGAGTTCCAGAGCCTAGGGTGGGTGGCGAGGTGGCAGCATTATAATTCCAGTCCTGGGAGGCAGAGATAGGGGATCCCCGGAGCCAGATGGCTAGCTAGGTAGTTGTCCGGGAGAGCTTTGGGTTTGGTTGGAAAGAGTCTGACTCAACTAATAAGCTGAGAGAGAGAGAGAGAGAGAGAGAGAGAGAGAGAGAGAGAGAGAGAGAGAGAGAGAGAGAGAGAGAAACACACACACACAGAGAATAATTCCCAGCATCAACCCCGAGCCTGCACACATACATACACATTTACACACACACACCCACGCTTGTGCACACATATGAACTCACATGCACACACCCATGCACACATAAACACACTAAAAAGAGGGGGAAGAGGGCAGCGGCAAGGGAGGGGGAAGGAAACGGCTCCCAAGCTCGTAGCCTCAGGAAGTGGACAAGCCTATAGAGGGGGATTACAAGCAGGGAGCCTCCGCGATGTCCACGGCATCATGACGGCATGACGTCATGACGTCCATCTCCGGGCGTCAACCAAGGCTTGCCCATTCTACAAAAAGTCACGTGGCCCTTACAGTATCACTCCTGGGAGTCGGCAGCGGCTGCCATCATCACTCTCCTCCAGACTTAATTTGGAACGTAGCACTGAAATGCACTTGCTGTCACAAGAACACGTTTGCTCTGCATTCGGTGTCTGGGTGGTAGACGTGGGTTTTGCTGGCTGCCGTCGCCGTGAGTTCATGGCTCCTGCAGCTGCAGTAACCGCTACTGTTGCGGCTGTGGGGGCGTCCGCAACAGCTGTTACTGCAGACACTCTTCTATGGACGCTGCTGCTACTCCTCCTACTGTTGCAGCTGTTATTTTTATTACTTATGGGGAGCCAGGGAGTCCTAAATATTACCGACACGAGCACAGCCACGTCAGGGACATCAGCGCCTCATCCCATGGCATGGCAAGGTCTTCCCCGGGTTAGGCTCAGATGAACGGCAAAGCCTTCCCCCTGGCCCACGTACCCGTGTCCACAGACATTGGACCTTTACAACCGTAGTTTGCAGAAATGATCCAATGCACTCTTCTGGTCTCTGTGTGTGCACGCACACATGTAGCATGCACCAACACAGATGCATACACAGAAATGAAAACAAAATTTGAAAAGCAGAGGAAACCAAAGGCGCGGGGAATGTCTTCCTGGCAGACACGTTACTTCTGCTCGCTTCCATGATTTCTTTCTGCCACGTGGGGCGTTGGTCTTATGAGTGAAATGGCAGGGACAGAAATATTCTTCCTAGTGTCGCCAGCTGAGAGTCGCCAGCTGAGAGTCGCCAGCTGAGAGTCACCCGCCCCCCACGCCCCCCCCAGGATAGGAACAAGTGAAGGAAAGGATATCTAGTCTCCTACTCAAGTTATGGGGACCCAAGGGGATTGTTTATTTTGATTTGCGTGTGAGGGGGAATGCGTGTGCCCGGGACGCACGAACAGAGAGCAGAGGAGTCGGTCTCTCTTCCACACATGGGTGTCGGGGTGGAACTCAAGTCATGGGACTCGTCTGCAAGCGCCCATCCTCACTCAGCCTCTTGCTGGCCGATTGGTCCCATTTCTGTATCCCTCATTGTAAATCTGATTTGTTCAGAGGGGGGGACGGGGAAAGGAATGCTATCCAGCCTGCATCTCCACTAGGAAAAGTTCCCTTGAGCCTTGACCTGCCGGGAAGCTGTGATTGCGCAACACCAAGTCAACCCAAAGAGATGCAGGGGAAAGCTCGGCTGTCCACTTGGAAGCCTGGAGCTCAAAGAGCTGCGTGGGTGATTGGCAGACGGGTAGCAGAGAGGCGGAGCCTGCGTGGGTGATTGGCAGACGGGTGGTGGAGAGGCGGAGCCTGTAGAAAGCCTCTGATAAAGGGAGAGGAGCCAGAGAGCTCCGTTTAAATGTGCATAGTCTGAAATGAAATGCAAGGCGATAACGGAGAGCCCGGCTTCTGTTTCGTAGGAGTGCCCTGGGTTCTAGCTGGAAAGAGGCAATCAAGGAGATAAGTGGCCACGAGGACCCTCTCCCTTTTCAACCTTAGTATTAAAAACCCTTTGATGGTCCCATTGGGCCTTAGGCCAAAGGAAGGAACGAGTTCATGAACACCATTAAAGGGCTAAAAATAACTCGCTTATTTCTCAGCTAGACTGGCTCTGCCCAAGTCTTGGAAAAAGCAAAGGGTTGGGGGGTGGGGTAGGCCTTGAGAGCAAAACACCCATGGTAACAAGAGACTTCTGTTTAGGGGTCACATTCCATGGTGCGGCTGTGGAGCAGCAGGAGTGTAGGTGAAGTCATACGCATCCATTTAATTTTTCTCTAATTAGGTGAACCGTTCAGGGCTTTCTTGACTTCTGATCAGCAAAATGTTTGCTCTATTGTCTTAAGAGGTTTTGAAGTTTTGTTTTAAGTTTTGAAAGTTATGCGGGTCTGTGTGTGGGTAGGTGCACATGTGGGTGCAGCGCCTGAAGAGGCCAGAAGAGGGCGTCAGATCTCCTGAAGCTGAAGTTACGCCCAATGTGAGTTCTGGGAACGGAACTTACATCCTCTAGAGGATCCGTGTATATACTCTTGCATATACAAGGTAAGCACTCCGACCACCGGGCAACATTCCCAACCTTTATTTCCTTTTTAATTTTTTTATTTTGAGACCCGTTCTTGAAAAGTTGCCCAAGCTGGCCTTGAGCTCTCTGTTGCCCAGGCTTACTTGGAAATGGTGAGGCCTCTGCCTCAGCCCCCTGAGTAGCTGCGATTACCAGGCCCTACTGGTGTCTGTCTATGTGTACATATTTTTATATGCATACCTTTGTATGTATGTGCATGCATATATGCACGTGTTTGTGTGTATATATGTATGGGGTATGTACAGACGCAAGTGTGCATATTTATGTGTGTGCATATGGATATGTGAACGTGCATACATACATGTATATGTACACACGTGTATATGTATGCACCTGTATGTGTATATGAATATGTACACACACCTATGTATGTAACGTGTGCATGCATGTGCCTATGTGCATATGCCTATGTCTCAAAAGGGTTAACAGGACCGCAAAGGAGGCACTGCTTTGAAGGCTCCCTGGTAACTTTATGAGCAATTGTGAACACAGGCCGCCGTTCTAGTCAGAGTAACCGCCAACCCTCCAGGTGCCGAGGCAGAGGTGAGTTGCAAGGGGGTGTGCTCCCCCTCTCCCCGGGAAGCGGTGGATTTTTGCATCGCAGATTCTCACCCAAGCCCTGCCGTTCTGCATCAGCTGCAAAACATGACACTAATGTAAGCATCTCGGAAAACACTTGCGTGTACACATGTAAACACTGCAGTCAGCAAAGCCCGCTGCTCTTCGGGGCGTGAGCGCGAAGGGAATCACCAACAGAGGCGTTCGTCCGGGCATCTTCGCCCATGGGAATGGCTCGCATCCCCAGACGTGGCGAGTGTGACGCGTGTGGCGATGTCACGGGGCTCCGGGATGTCTCCAGGCTCGGATCAGCCGCTGCACCCAGGGATGCATTAAGGGGCCCATCCTGAGAGCACACAAAATATATCTCATGCTCCCAGATTGACAAGATATCTGGGGATTAAGCCGGCTGCTTCACACTGTAATCCTTGGATACAGCATAATTGAAACGGGCTGTGGCTGAGAGACGGGAGCCTGCGAGCATCTCTACATTGCAACTGAACGGCAGTAGGGGTGGGGATGGGAGGGTTAGATGGCTCACCTGGTAGGTGCCTGCCCTGCAAGGCTGATTACCCGAGTTTGGACCTCATTAAGGAGCTGGGCACGGTGGCACGCATTGGTCACGCCAGGGCTTGGCAGGACGGAGATAGGAGGATCCCTGGAGGTCACTGGCCAGCCTAGCTAGGCAGATTTAGTAGTGAGCTCTGGGTTCAGCGAGAGTCTCAGAAAACTAAGGTAGAGGGCAACCAAGAAGACAGCTGACCCCCACACCCCCCCAGTGGGATCAACCAGAAAGGCCCAAGTACTGTTGTCCCCAACCAATGCAGCCTGTTCACTCAGGAATAAAGGGAGGTGACAAAGCGTAGAGCTTGGACCCCCTGCCTTTCTAAGACCAGGCTGGAAGTGGCGTTTGAGCTTGGGACACAGGAGATACTGAGCGTCCAGGCCCGGGGCTCATCTCTCTGACCCCTTTCTGCTCCTCCAAGCCGAACTGCCGCCATCTTCACGGATTTGGCCGTGCTCACTTCCAAAAGATCCCCACAGGTGGGCTTGGTGGCCTTTTCTCTAGGTAGAAGGGGTGGGAAAGGCTGCGGGACCCTGGCCTGAACAGCCAACCACCCTTCCCAACCAGTGTTGTGCAATTCCGCCCTAACTGCACGTGGCCTCAGGGAGGGGCTGGAAGCATATACATGGGGGAGGGGGAGGGAGAGGGACAGGGGGAGGGGGAGGGCTAGGGCTAGGGCTTTATCTTTGTGGCCATGGGGGAGTTGCCATCCATGTGGGCGCAGACCTTCCAACGTGGCTTCTTGAAGGCCTCCCAAACTCCTGCCTGTAACCCCTCACCCATGCATGACAAGGAAGCCCAGTTGTAGAGAGAAGCCTTTTCCTTGCCATCTGCTTTGGGTTTTCCCCACCAGTCGCCTGGGCTCTGCCGAGTTGTAGTCCCCAAATAACACACAAGATGCTGTATTAATTATGAAGCTGTTGGCCTTGCTTGTTTCTTACTGGCTAGCTCTGACTTAGGTATTTACCCCATAATTGTTAATCTAAGTATTTCTCTTACCGGAGAAAGGGTCCGGGCTTCTTACCCCTATGTCGGTTACATCTTGACTCCCTGTGTTTCTCCTCCCCAGAGTCCTCCTCAACTCCTAGTCCCACCTATCTTGCTTCCCTATTGGCCAACAGTGCTTTATTGACATATACACAGGACTTCCCCATCACCCAATAAACTCACTGGTTGCCCAGGCTGACTTTTGGCAAACTCACCCCCAGCTTGGCACTGGGACCCAAGGAAGGGTGGTAGATGTTGTTTACATCTCCCCCCAGAGAAGGAATTTCAGAAACATCCCCCACCCCCACCCTCACCCCCCCCCCACCCCGAGCTCACACGAGCTCGCCCTTAGCCTTTCAGGGGTTAGTACTGACGGTAATCGGTTCTCTCCAGGTGTCTGATCTTAACGATTTACTAAGAGTCTCACCGGCAGGGACAACACAGCTGGGAGAGCAAACCCTCCAAAGGCAGCATACTGAAAGCTCATTGGCTGGAGATGCCACGTGTGGAGGCCAGAGGTTGGCGTCAGGCGTCTTCCTCTGCCAGGTGCCACCTCTTTGTTGGCTTATTTGTTTATTTATTCGAAGCAGAGTCTCATTATGTCCTCCTGGATGTCCTGGAACTCGCTCTTGTAGACCAGGCTAGTCTGGGACTCACAGAGCTCTGCCTGCCTCTGCCTCCCGAGTGCTGGAATCAAAGGTGTGTGCCAATCATATCCGGCTCCACTTTATTTATTTTATTTTATTTTTTTGAGACAGGGTCTAACTTCTAGGTGGCAAACTATTTCCAATTTACCGATGTTACTGTTGTTTACCTATTATTTAAAACCGACTGGGTGGGAGGGAGAAGCTGGGAGTCCAGTTGCAGAGGAAAAAGCTCCACCGAGGACTTCAGCCAACTGTCTCAGTTTCCCTAGTCGATTTCTACTGGACGTTGTGAGCACCTGATTTGGTGACATCTGTCTGTCTGTCTGTCTATCATCCATCTATCTGATATTTACTATTTATCCTTTTACTCTGGCGTGCCGTATGCTTAGTGTGCTCACTCATTCAAAACCAAAAAAAATAGGCTACCACAGAGTCGTCAGAACAAACGGAAGGGAAGGCTGACAAACGAGCAAAGGGGTGACCATCTCTACCCACTGTCCATGCATAAAGATGCCAAATACATTCCAGGAAGCAAAAGAAACAGAAGTCAGGCACGGCTTGAGTTGGGGTATCCACCCCCGGCTTACACACATGAGCACTTGCTCCCAGGTAGTGGCGTTATTCGGGGGACTGAGTGGCATTTAGGGGGCGGAGCCTGGCCGGCGAAAGAAGGCCACTCGAGATCAGCTCTTTTATCTTGATCGTTCTAGTAACATGGCGTCTCTTCACTTATTTATTTTGAGACAGTGCGTATGCACACCGTGGTGCCTATGTGGAGGTCAGAGGGCAATTGGCTTCTCTTCGTCTGCCGCATGGTTCTCCCGGGTCAAACTCAGGCCATCAGGTGTGGTGGCAAGTGCCTGACCCATCCCACCAGTCCAAGGGGTGGGTCTTTGAAAGTTAAACCCCAGCCCCGGATGCCTGCCTCACGCTCTGCCTCCTCACCATGATGGAGGGAAACCATGGAAACCTGCGGTTCCCCCCTCCTGTTGCCTCCGTCTGGTATTTGGACACAGTGTTGCAGAAGTAATTAATACATAAACCCGTGTGCTCAGCAACTGGGGCACTGGAAGCCCTCGCCTGCATGACTCTGGTCCATCCATCCATCCATCCATCCATCCATCCATCCATCCATCCATCCATCCACACACGGCCCTTCAGTGCCATTTGACAGACAGTGGAGTTTGTTTTTTGTATTAGCGACTCTCTCTTTAGTCCTGGCTGTCCTGGAACTTGCTCTGTAGACCAGGATGGCCTCACACTCACAGAGATCCACCTGCCTCTGTCTCCCCAGTGCTGGGATTGGAGGTGTGCGCCACCATGACCAGCCCTCCTGAGGGCTCACCCCTAACGAGGGGGCCTGAGCTCAATGATGTGTCTCAGAAAGCAATTTGGGCTGTGAAGGTTTCGAACACACTGTTCTACCCCACGTTAAAGGGCTATCCCTGGGAACGTCTTGGACAGTTCAATAGGAGTTGATGTTTATCCGGAAAGATGTTTACCCTGTAGGTGGGCCTGGCTTCCCTCACTACCATTTGAGATGCTGAACTAAAGCCATCAAACTTCTCTCTGCCAGACAAGTTTTTTTCCACCCGGTGGTACAGCTTCCAGGGACATTCTAAATTCATCCTCCCATTCACCCAGGGACCAGCCCCGCTGAGCCGTGCCATGATGTAGGAAGAAGAAGAAGAAAAAAAAAACACCCACAGGCCTCAGGAAAGAGACACAGCAAACAGGGGATGCACGGGCAGCGTCCACAGACCTCAGAGAGAACCTCACAAGCTCTCTCTCTCTCTCTCTCTCTCTCTCTCTCTCTCTCTCTCTCTCTCTCTCTCTCTCTCTCTCTCTCTCTCTCTCTCCTTCTCTCCACCCGCTGCTCGTCTGCCGGCCGTTTTCACCTGGAATGTCTTTGGCTCACTTCCAGATCAAATGCCAGTTAGAAAGCCCCACCCGCCCGCCTGCCCGCTCGCCCTCTCTGGGCAGATAGCAACAGTGACGAGCTGTAATCATTTACAAAGGTCACGATCGGGAGCGGGCCCTGCAGCCGTCGTTTAAAATTCGATTGATCCCTATTTGTAGTCAGGGAAGGAAAATGGGCACCCGGACCATGTTGTAATTATGAGGCTTCCAGGCAGCCGTAAATAGATGAGCAATCTCTGTACCGGCAAATACCTGGGAGAAGAAACGATTGCCCCGGCATAGCGCGTTGCTGGGAAAAGGTTGGAGATAAAAACTGCATTAAAAAAGAAAATCAATCACCTCCCAGCTAATTTGCCCCACTCGCAGTCCATCAGGGTTATCACAATGGTCAGGTGTCTGTTGAATGCGTTCACAGGAGGCCCGACTTGAAATGAAATCTAAAGACTCAAAGCCTCAAACTCAGCGGGCTGCCCGGAGAGGCGAATTTTAGGGCTGGGCAGGCTCCGGAAGCCACAGTGCAGAAGGATTCTGGGGTGGCTCTCCCTCTCTGAGAGTCTTGCTGAGATGCAGGTGTACCCCGCCCCAACCCGGGCATTCCTGAGAGCGTCAGGTCCCCGTGGGCTCTACCAGCTAAGAGCCAGCGATCCCCACACAGCAAACCTCGACTCTGCCGCGCCGTGCAGAATCTCTCTGTCCCTTTGCGGCCATAGAAGGGGGCCAAAGTGTTCCTTGTCGGAGGCCCACGCTCCCCCACGAGTGGCGCAGGGCCTCTGAATCTACTCGGGGGCCTGGTACCGACCCAGGCTTCACCTTGGTTCCCCCATTTGGGTCAAGTTGAGTTTCCACACTGAAGCCTACAGGCTCAGGTATGCTACAAGTCACGTTAACGGTGTGCTTCTCTGAGGAGCGGTTGTTAAATCACGATTGCTTTCTCTGTGTGGAAGCGGCTATCAAGTACCAGCAGCTCCAGGACATAGACTAGGATTTCCTAATCCCCGGAGCCCGGGATGGTGGTGCACACCAGTAATCCCAGGGCTGGGGAAGCCGAGACAAGAGGCTCTCCAGTTTGAGGCCAGCCTGTGCTACACAGAGAGAACATGTGTCAACAATAGTTAAGGTGGAAAACTTTATATGATACCTGGTTTATCGAAATAAAAACAGGAGGCTGGCAAGATGTCTCAATGGTTAAGGGCATTTGCTGCCAAACCTGATGACTTTAGTTCAAATCTCCATGACCACATTGTTGAAAGAGAGAACTGATTCCTGCTAACTGTCCTCTGACCCCTTCCTCACACGCATACGCACACGAACGTACACACAAACACACACACACACACAAAATGTGTATTATAAATGTGAAAGGTACTTGGTAATCCAGATACTTACTTGGTAATCCAAACTAGTATTTCTGGGGTTCTCAGTGCGCAGGGCGACCCAGGATCCCTGCCGGCGAGCCTTCACAGCAGGACTGTAAGAGGCCGGTGGTGACTCCAGGTCATGTTTGAGGACGTGAAGGTGGAGTGCCCTCCGAGTGTACAATCTATTTCTTCATTCTCTTCACACGGCTTTATGGAATACTATACTCGAGTTTTTGTGCAGTCATTTAGTATTATTTCGAGAACATTTCCTCACAGCTTTAGAAGCCGCACGGCACGCCGTGGAACCGGGAGCGACGGAGCACACCTACAATCCCTGCACTTGGGAAGCTGAGGCAGGAGGATTTCGAGCTTGTGCCGCACCCTGAGGCCATTTTCTCAAAAGCAGAACAACAAGAACCAATAAAACCGTTGCGGTTGCTGTACAATATTCCATGAGGTTCATGCGGCGTAATCCACACTGGATTAGGTTTCTCCTCCGCTTTTAGAGTGTGAACCCCTCAGGGGCATGTGCAGGAAGACCTGGTCAGCATCCCCTGCACAGTGAGGGTCAGGCTACAAGCCCGGGCCG